ACGTTCGACCTTTTCGCGTCTTACATTCATGGCGATTCGTAAAATGGACGCGGACTGGCGAACTATAGTAGAGTGGACGCAAACAGGTGAACTTACCCTAGATTAATATGTAAGTTATTATTCCTCGGGCGTATCTATTTATAACAATAAGCGCCACACACCATAATATTATGTACGGAGTGATACCTACAATGATATGAGTCATCGAATCGTTTAATATTGTCGCCGCATTGATGACGTGTAAATTAAACCTAGTGTATTTAACGATATTGTAATTAACGATAGCATCGTTATTTTAATAATAAATCTATCTTACACAACTAAACACCCCGCCTTTTACCCCCGAAGGGATAGACAGTGCACATTTGTCGCGGAGAACCTAACGGATAACCGGGGCTCCGGCTCGACGTGCAGGAGAAGGTACGGGGTGGTTTTTAGTCAGTAAGAGTAACACTCCCTCTCGCCTCACCCAGGCGGGAGCAGTCATTCGATGATTTCCCACTTAAAAAAAAAGACTGCACATTACGGCACTTCATGCCATTTTACAATGTAGCACCCACTTTTCACTATTTATGTTATGAGTCCCATGTAATAGGGGGAGTGAGCCTATTGCCATATTCCGAGCACAATTCCAGTCAATGATTGTAACTAAATTTTTGACTGCCCAGTTGGCGCAATGGCTGGGCAACTGGCCGCCATGCAACTTGTAGTGGTTTCGATTTTCGCACGGAACAAGTCTTTGTGTAATAATCCACAGCTTGTCATAATATATGAACTTGTATATTTGTAAATGCACCCACGACACAGGAGAAAATCCTAGTGTGGGGCATCGTTTTATATAAAAAAAATCATCATCCACATTAATTTTATTATTAGTATTTTGTTTATGTAAGTAAGTATCTGTATTTTTATTTCCTTTTTAATCTTAGTTTTGTGTGCTAATTGCCAAATAAATGTTTCTTCTATCTTTCTTTCTTTCTATGTGGTATATTAGGAGTTATATTTATTGACATATAAAAACGATTTACACTTAAGCTGAAGAATAGTCAATTATATTGTACCATCCATCCATCCATCCATCAACAACCTATAAATGCCCACTGCTGAGCAAAGCCTCTTCTCACACGGAGAAGGTTAGAGCGTTAATCACCACGCTTGCTCAATGCGGGTTGGCAATTTCAAACTTATAATTAGAAATTATAAGTCCAGGTTTCCTCACGATGTTTTTCCTACACCGTTTGTGTCTAAATAATCTTAGAAAGTACATATAACTCGGAAAAAGTCACATTGGTACTTGCCGTTGGTAGGTTTCGAATCCGGACCCTCATGCATGAGAAGTGGGCGTCTTAAACCTCCGGGCCACCACGATTATATTGTACAGCTAGTCTTATCTGTCAGGCACTAAAAGAGATAAAGTGTAAACCGCTATATTCTTCTCGGGTAATAAAAATCATGATCTTCAGATTATGATCTCAAAACCGCATATAAAATTAAGGCAAGATGATACAAGTGCCCACAACACAATAATAGTAGGTAATAATATAATATGTGCTACAAATGTAATCCACACAATAGCTCATTAGCATTAGGTATACCGTGTGGGACTGTGGGTGACTAAAAACTGAATGTTTAATGAATTGAATACTAATTCAATATGACCTGAATACTATACTTACGTAGTTCGAAACCACGTAAAGTGTTATCGAGCCATGCTTTAGCACGAATGGGCCGGCTCGACCGGAGTGACACCACGGCCTAACAGAAAATCGACGTGAAGCAACGCTTGCGTTGTGTTTCGTCGTGTGAGTGAGATTACCGGAGGCCCAATCCCCCCCCCCTTTCTCCAATCTCCCCAATTCCTGAACTTCAAACTCCTAATACCCAAAAGGCCGGTAACGCACTTGTAACGCCTCTAGGCTCCCAGGTGTCCATGGGCGACGCCGATTGCTTACCATCAGGTAATCCGTCTGCTCGTTTACCAGCTTATTTTTCCCATCTTATCCCATCAAAAATAAAAGATTAATTTCGATATGTCTTATTATTTCGGTGGTAGATTTGTGTCAATGATTGATTTAGGATTGTATTAAAAAGATAGATGTGGAGAATGATATCTAGATATAAAATAGAAGTTTGTGATTTGATAACGTCTGATAAGAGAGAATGGAAAAAGATCCCCAAGTAAATTAGATTTGTTACACCAGAGCAAGAAAATTAAGAAATTGAACGAAATTATTGGAGCACTACATGAGACTTAAAGATAAAAAAGAGGAACATACTGCTAAGGAGTGGAATACTTTGCAAGAGTCTGCGTTTCGTGAAGGGTATATGGTAGGTAGTTTCCTAGGGGTCTTCAAGGCCCGAGGGAATAGGTTGCTTATGGGTCGACGTACTCCATCGTAGACCGCATCATCGCTTAGGTGAGATAGTGGTCAAACGTCGCCCATCCAACATAAAAAAATAACAATGAGAAGACCTGTTAAGAGAATCAAGTGATATCGCTATGATAAATATCAAGATATCAAATTACTTTTGATAGTTCTGTCATTCATCACATTCAACGCCACCCAACGCCACTATACAACAAACGAATCCTCCTTTTTTAAATTGCAAAAAAAAAATTAAGAACATTCCAGAACCACGTCACACATGCGGAAACCCACACTGTGACACGTTATAAGTACGATGACACCCACACTACGGACGCTCCCTTATAGTACACGCAAACACATCGATGCGTGTAAAACCAGTATTAATTGACCTTCGAATATGCATATAGATTGTACATAGTGAGACCTTGATAAAATGGTGCATAGATCTTAATGTGTAAGTACCATATATACATGCACCCAATGCAGTCCTTGTAATTACGAACATATGTTAAGAACGACTTTACCACACGCAATGCACCCGAGTATGTTGCATGACGCATCTATATAGATAAATAAAATTGGAGTGTCTGTTTGTAATATTGACATACAACCGCTATGTACTATATGCATATGAATATACACAGGATACCTATACTTAACAAAATAACATTTTTTTGTCTGTGTGTCTATCTTTTTGTACTGGCTAATCTCTGAAATTGCTGGACGGATTTTGACGGGACTTTCACTGGCAGGTAGCTGATGTACTAAGGAAGTAACATAGGCTATTTTTATTTTGTAAAATTCAAACCAAATGAATGTTTTGTCCTAAAACTCATATCTATAGTTAGAATAAATAAATACTTCAAATAATCACTGTATTGAAGATCGAATTCAAAAAGAAAACACAAATAAAAAAAAGTTATTACCATGTCATTACAGTAAGCAGTCTTACTGGCCAGTTACAAGTCGACACTGAACGAAATGAATGATTTAATAAAATGATAATCGAGAAACTAAATCGATTCTTTCATTCCGGGAATAAATCCAAGAATTTATTACTTTTAATGTTCCACGTTATTTTTAAATAAAGTTAATATAATATGCTTAATGAAGCGAAACAAATCCTTTTCATTCGTTCCTATTAAAGAAAATTGTTGCATAGTTACAATTTGATTTATATATAACACGTGACTTTGTTATTTAAAGAAAAGTGCAGAAATTATTATTGCCATACATAATTCTAATCTTCCCATTACGTTTTTTAATAAACCTAATATGTAATGCCTTTAAACGAGCAATTCTTGAATATAACATATTTTTAAACGACGATAAAGGAGGAGGTTCTCAATTCGGCCGTATATATGCTCTTTTATGTTTTTTCGCCGATATCTCCGTGATTTATGAACCGATTTTCAATCAATTATCAATTTAATTATGGATAATACCAACTGAGACCATTAACTACTTTATATTTTATTATGGGTTTGTGGCACCGACTTCTAACCTATCAGTGGGTGGGTAAGCTATAAGTACGTATGACCAATAAAAATAGTATTTTTTTCCTTTTTAGTTAGTACTTTTCGTTTGTCTTTATTTTTTGAAGTCGGTTTTTTTTCTTTTCTCTATTTAATTTTTTGTACATAGAGGTATATTGTTCTATTTTTTTCGAAAACAAATATGTATAAATAAAAACATAGAGCAAAGCTCGCGGTCCAAAAGGTGAAACTAGTTAACTGCAGTTTTTATTAAAATAGCTTTTATGGCATAAGAGAAAAGATTCATTGTTCAGTAACTTTAAGCAACAAATCTTGTCTAATAAGCCGGGCAAAGACAAAATAAAGCCACGCAATTTTAAACTGTTTGATTTCTACCATAAATTGACTTAGATAAAGCTATACTACTCATAAACCTAATGATGAGGAAAACACACAGACATGCGTCAATAAAGATTAACTCTGTGTTAAGAATAAACAATGTGTCAGTTGTAAACTATTATGTTTACATTGATCTCATTCGCGGCTAAATGCGAATTGAAGACACTATAAATACCAAAAAATTAAAAATAAATTAAAATTCCAAACCTATAAATTCTTTATGGCGCATTTAAATCCTCTATCAAATTTTATTAAAAAAAAAAGAAAGGAATAATCATTTAAAAACGTGTTTATAATAAAAAGAAAAAAGTCTTCGAAATCCAATGGCGCCATGAAATAATCCTGATTAATAAATTACAGATTTTAGTAGAAAAGGACGGCGTTTAATAAAACGTTTATTTATGTAAAATATACAATCCATTTTAGACATCCCTAACAAAGGTTATATGCTATATGCTCTATATATTCTGCAAGGCTACATATACATACCTAAAGATCTATACTGAGATAATAAGCAATATAACTCATTTCTATGTTACAAACTCGATCTAAACAACTATGAATGTCGCGGAGAACCTAACGGATTACCGGGGCTCCGGCTCGAAGCGCGGGAGAAGGAACGGGGTGGTTTGTAGTCAGTAAGAGTCTGACACTCCCTCCGCCTTACCCAGGCGGGAGCAGCACTACTATGATTTACCCCCTTAAAAAAACAACTATGAATATAAAGATACTAAACACAATTTTCTCATCTTTGCAGAATATAATTACCAATCTAAGAAGAACCATCTAAATCATGGAGGAGATTAAAAAGGAGATCAATCTGGACTCCGTCTTGGAGAGTTTGGGACCATACGGCAGATACAACCTTCTGAACTTCGTACTGCTTCTCTTCCCTATTCTTCTCAGCAGCTTCTTCGAATGTGGATTCATATTTGAAGCTCAGGAACTAACTTACAGGTAAGGTTTTTTTTATAATATTCTCCGTTCTATATTATTCATTGTAAGTATCTACGACTTTTCGGAAAACCTGAAATTTTAAAAATTTTTGACATAACAAATAAACAAGTTTTGACCTTAGAATTTAACTCAAAGCAAAAACTCTATGGGCCGTTGACGCCGGAAAATAAAAGATTTTTATTTATTTAAAACTAATATCGCGATTCACTCAACCAAATTCGAGAACCGGAGTAGACGTCAAGTTGTTGAAAAATACAATCTGTAATAGCATTATAACAAAAAATAATGTGTTTATTTTCGTTTTATTAAGTTGTGCAACACATCTGTTTAGTCAGTAACGACTATTTTGTCCTTTATTAGTCTTAGAGCACATTGATCTCTTTTTTTACAAAATTTGCATCTTAAGTCTTATTACTTCTAAAATAAATTACACCATAGTCCTACCAGTCATCAGTCTTCACTTTTCTATTTACAATTGATGGGTGATTGACCTTTACCTTTTTAGAATGTATTTAAGGATCAGAATCTGCCGTACAATCTCCATTTGTTGCGGTTGTTACTCTTATTTCTGAACTAAAATAACTTCTGAGCTCATTTCCTTTTTGGATATCTTTCTGTACTATCTTCATCTTCATCTTGTGTTATTTATAAAGTTTAAGGAACAAAGAGATTTCTAAGTAACTGAGTATGAGTTGTAGGGTTCAGTAAAGTTTTATTACGTTTTCCAATATCAACATTCTCAATACTATGTATACCAAGACAAAAACCTTATATTAGTAGATATCTGAATGACATTGCACAAAATATAGCTTGAGCACCTCTCAGATATATTGGTAAATAAAAAAGATCTTAAATAAACATTGTAATAGACACAGACTAAGCAGGAATAAGTATGGGGATAGAATGATATGGAACGTATGTTTAAACTTTGTTATATTGACGACTAGGTACTAAAAATAGGACTTAATCGTCAACTGGCGAGCGCGAATCTCGCGAGCGCGCGCGAGTTGGCACTTTTCGATTTTGCCTACTTTTTTTGTCGTCAACTCGCGCGTCTATATAATTTGATGTTTTAATGTATAGTCAGCTACAAAAACGTTATAACAAATTTAATTTAGTTAGGTACTTACCTACTATAAATGTATAAGAAACTTTATGAAATTTGATTTTTAAAATAAAACAAAATATACATCGTTTTGAAATCAGTTTATTATAAATCAACAGGACAAAATATAAATTATTAGTAGTATTTCCCTTACTAATTATCAACAATATCACATTGATTTGAGAATTTGGCTTATTATCTTATTATCTAGTATGTAAATTGTAAAAAACTAAGTAAATAAAATAGAAACAACGAAAACACTCCCCTCACATACTCGTATACAAAATTATATGTGAGGAGATTTTCGATAAATCTCATAATATAAATAATTTAAACCGTACTGAAAATTGGTAAGTATAAAATAGTAAAGCTAAACATAGTAATTGACAACAAACTGACTTATTATTGCTCACTAATAAAATCAATCTTAGGAACCATAGAAAGAGTCTTAGAAACTATAAAATCACAGATCAGATATGGTTGTGACTTATGTATCGAACTTTTGATCTTGTGATTTTTGATTTAATTTAGCATAGTCTGTTTATTTTAACGTTTGCTATAAAAATCATTTATAACAAACCATGATCTGTGATTTTATAGTCTGTGATTAGTTTTATTTGTAGGTCGTCAGTAATAACTTAGCCAATTGATGAATCTACTTATTGATAGTGTTTAGCGTTTTTTGTAAAAATCATTTACAACCATATCTGATCTGTGATTTTATAGTTTCTAAGACTCTTTCTATGGTTCCTAAGATTTATTTTATTAGTGAGCAATAAGAAGTCAGTTTGTTGTCAATGACTATGTTTAGCTTTACTATTTTATACGTACCAATTTTCAGTACGGTTTAAATTATTTATATTAGGAGATTTATCGAAAATCTCCTCACATATAATTTTGTATACGAGTATGTGAGGGGAGTGTTTTCGTTGTTTCTATTTTATTTACTTAGTTTTTTACAATTTACATACTAGATAATAAGATAATAAGCCAAATTCTCAAATCAATGTGATATTGTTGATAATTAGTAAGGGAAATACTACTAATAATTTATATTTTGTCCTGTTGATTTATAATAAACTGATTTTAAAACGATGTATATTTTGTTTTATTTTAAAAATCAAATTTCATAAAGTTTCTTATACATTTATAGTAGGTAAGTACCTAACTAAATTAAATTTGTTATAACGTTTTTGTAGCTGACTATACATTAAAACATCAAATTATATAGACGCGCGAGTTGACGACAAAAAAAGTAGGCAAAATCGAAAAGTGCCAACTCGCGCGCGCTCGCGAGATTCGCGCTCGCCAGTTGACGATTAAGTCAAAAATAGAAGTATAAGCCTTGACCTACAAAGATGAAGGTCAAAGTTATATAAATAAAAATAGAGTTAGTAGTAAAAGGATGTAAGTTGTAATGACACTTAAACATAGTTATGTTGCCTACATATAATCGGGAAAATATATCATTAATTGACATGTCAGACCTTACAGATGAAGTACAGCCTAATATTGCCTGTTTCAAACTGATTTTTGGGCCCTAATTCGTTGGTAGATTAACAATTAACAGAAAATCGTCTCTTTAGAAAAGTTCACCAACCAATACCGTCTTATAATTTCCACCAGATGTGACGTGAATGGCTGCGAGCAACGCTTCAACGACACCTCCTGGATCAGCTATGCCATCCCGACCAACCAAGTACATAACAAACCAGAGTCATGCATGATGTATGTTCCGTTGAACAACTCAGAGTTCCAGTGCCTACCCCACAATTTTGATTTGAACAAAACCATGGCCTGTGACAAATTCGTCTATGAAGATGAACATTCACTAGTAAAAGAGGTGAGTAGACCAATTTTTGAATGCATGTCTAGTGAAAAGTTAAGCCAAAAAGTACTTTAATGATATGATCATAGTAGTTTATATTGCATGAGATATTTATGTCTGTTTTATAAAGAATACGGGCATTAAAAATACATTTCCAAGATAAAATGTTGCCCTTATTTGTATTGTACGTAACTGTGTCTGTTTGCATAATCCACTTTCTCATATCAACTGCTGTGTCCAAAGTGTTGATTTTATCAAAAATGAGTCTTGTGACCTTACTTGCAATATTTGCTTTATTTATATATTTGTATGTAGTGTCAAATGTAGACTCATTAACCTTACTTGGCTTTACATAATAATACTATATTTGTCCGCAGTAAACGAAGTACACGAGGTGGACGCCACTGCGCCAAATATGTAAACTCCATGATCTAAACATGCTAGTACTTAATACGTAGACTTTTGAACAAAATTTTAGTCTTCTTCATCTTTCAGTTCAACCTTGGCTGTCAGGAATGGAAGAGGGCTTTGGTTGGAACCATTCACAACTGTGGGATGTTCGTTGCAATGTTGTTCACTGGCGCCATATCTGATCGGTTTGGGAGGAAAATGGCTGTAGGATTCGCGGCCACTACCAGCTTTATATTCGGTTTCTCCAGATCGTTTGCGCCAAATTACCTGACCTATGTAGCATTACATTTCTTGGAGGCGGCCTTTGGTGGCGGATTGTACCCGTCAGCTTATGTCTTTAGTAAGTACTTCTCATTTGTTCTCTGCTCAAAAGTTTCTATAGAATATTTAAAACAAAGTGGTTACAATTGTTTCAAATAATCTATACCATGATGGTCAAGACAATGTTTATTACTATTGATAACGAAATAGGCTTTTCCAATTGACACTTAAAAATGCTATATTATCACTATAACGTACTGATTTACCCAAAGTAAAGATTAAAACTACAGCTTCGATTAAAATTGATTGACAGATAAAAATAACACTTAACAATATTCGAGAAGATTCTGATATCGATTTCATTCTAACTTCTACTAAACCTATTAGGAAAGACATCACAATAGTACAATGTTGAATATCGTTGACTATATACGGCGTTTCTCACGACATGCCCTTATTAATACTAATTTATTCTTTACAGTTATCGAGCTGGTTGGCCTTAAACAGCGAGTTATAGTATCCGCCATGTGCAATATGACCTTTGTCATAGGCGTCGTCCTCATTGCCCTCCTTGCTTGGGTGGTTGAAAGCTGGCGTACCTACATCCTCATTCTCTACTGCCCAGCCTTAATTGTGGTCATCTACATCTGGTTCATGAACGAAAGTGCCCGCTGGCTCCTGAGTAAAGGCAAAAGGGACAAAGCTGTCTCCGTACTTAAAAAAGCAGCAAAAATAAACAATTTGGATCCAAGGAAACTTGAACTGGACTTCTTGGGAGATCCTTTACTTAAGGCTGAGAGTCAGACGACGGATAAGAAGTCTCAATTGTCAAAAGCGATTCGTTCAAGCATAATATGGAAAAGACTGATGATTTGTTCGTTTTTATGGATGACTTGTTCCCTGGTATACTATGGGCTGTCAATAAACTCTGTGTCTTTAAGCAGTAATAGGTACGTGAGCTTCATGCTGGTGACTTTGGTGGAGATCCCAGCGTATATTGTGGTTGTGATAGTACTGGACAAGTATGGGAGGAAACAGACGCTGGTCGCCACCTACCTTACTTGCGCGTTGATGAGTTTGCTGTTCGCATTCTTGCCTAGAAGTAAGTATTTCTCTTTTAAAATTATTCCAAGAATTTTAAATAGAAGATCAATGATAATTACGTAACCATTGTGTTAGTAATTGGATAAAACTTGTATAATTGGTCATTAACTTTATCATTGCCGAGATAAATGCATCAATAAACCGATTCTATCTTTAGATCGTAATCTAACAGATATTGTGATGTTTAAAAATCACGAACAATCAGACTATTAATAACTGACCTTAATATAGGCATGGTATCATCATAACAAACTACTATTTGATCGTGTGGATAACTTTTTGATTGAATTTAAATAAAAAATATGTTCCATAGTCAGCAAAAGGTTATAATAAATTACATTAAATATTAAAGAATATAAGAAACTCTTATTAAACCTATACAATTATAATTAACCTAGCTGTTACCCGCAACTTCGTTCGCGTAAAATTATTCATATTTTTTGTTAATTTATACTTTTTTGACGCGACAAAGTGTTGATTGGCGAGGCGTATTTGAGAGCTAACGGAACGTTTATTGTCTACTCAAGATGGCGACTGCGGTTTATCTGTCAGTGGCATTAAAATCTATACATATAATAAAATTGTAGAAAAGTGCTGTCTGTACATTGAAAATAAAAATAAAAAAAATAGCAGGGGCTATTGTTATGTCGATTTCGAACCCAAAAATGTAACTAACTTTTTTTTTGTCTGTTTGTCTGTTTGTCTGTTCACGCTAATCTCAGAAACGGCTTATCCGATTTGGATGCGGTTTTCACGAATATATTGTGGTATGCTTCAGTTATGCTTTAGTGTTTGTTTCATGTCAATCGGTTCATAAATAAAAAAGTTACGTCAAATTAAAGAATCACGTCGAACACTATCTATCTATCTATCTATCTATACATATAATAAAATTGTAGAAAAGTGCTGTCTGTACATTGAAAATAAAAATAAAAAAAATAGCAGGGGCTATTGTTATGTCGATGTCGAACCCAAAAATGTAACTAACTTTTTTTTTGTCTGTTTGTCTGTTTGTCTGTTCACGCTAATCTCAGAAATGGCTTATAAATATATATATATTTAACAGGGTGCGGAAAAGGTGATAGTGGTTTTATTCCTCAGATTCCTCTCATTCCAAAAAATTTTCCGTTTAATTTTAAACGAATTCAGTTTCCAGTGAGCCTATGTTTCGCCATGACAATTAATAAAGCTCAAGGTCAGACTCTAAAAGTTGTGGGTATAGATCTAAGTATCAGCTGTTTTTCGCACGGTCAATTGTATGTGGCTCTGTCCCGTGTTAGCAATCCCAGCAGCCTGTATGCTTTCACCCCCGATGGCCATACGTCTAATATTGTATATAGAGAAGCATTACAGTAAAGTAGGTTTTTTAGCTACCCAAAATGACTGTGATTATGATCCAAATCTAAAATAAAAATAAGTATATATTTAAAAAAAAACGCTGCTCATAGTCACTATTCTACGCGAACGAAGTCGCGGGCACAGCTAGTGAATTAATAAAATGAAATAATCTCCGTAATCCGAATTTTTCGGATATAAGTTGTCGACTCGAAATCGATATTTTTTATGTTTTGTAATTCAAGTAATGTTTCGATCGAGTCTACCGTACCCCTTAACGAAATTATTAATATAGATTATCAATACATAGTATAAAACTAAGTCGCTTTCGCTGTATGTCCGTATGTATGCTTAGATCTTTAAAACTACGCAACGGATTTTGATGCGGTTTATTTTAATAGATAGAGTGATTCTTAAGGAAGGTTTGTATGTATAATACATGCATATTGCACCCGTGCGAAGCCGGGGCGGGTCGTTAGTTAATAATAAATCCAATTGTGCAAAGGCGTATTATTACGCACCTAATTATCTTCCTAACAATATTTTTTAACCCGAAAACCTTCACTGCACTTTGCACTTCAAATAATAATGCATTCTTAACATAATATCTACACGTGTCGCACGTTTTGGAAACAGTACAACAGGTAACGTACAAAATTGTACGCATTTCATAATAATGTCGACATGGCGTATTTTTTTTCTTCTTGTGTAATTTCGTACGTGTGTTACATCATATTTTTTTAAAAGTAGTATAATAGCATTTAATTCGATGTAGGGATCTTTTCATTGAAAGACTTAACATAACAGCCTTTTATCCCCGAAGGGGTAGGCAGAGGTGTACAATGTAACACCCACTTTTCACTATTTATGTTATGAGTCCCATGTAATAGGGGGTGAGCCTATGTCCATATACCGGGCACAATTACAGACTCCGTGCTACTACTGAGATTTTTTTTTAATAAAACTCAGTAATACTTCGGATGACCCGGGAATCGAACCTAAGACCCCTTGTCTGGCAGTCACACTTGCGACCGCTTGGCCAACGGGGCAGTATTGAAAAACTTATTGAAGCACTTTTCTTCTATAATCTGAAATTATATTCTTGAGACAACACGTACATTACTAAACCCTACCTAAAAATACAAAATAGCTACCTCAGGAACACTACGCATCATTTTGACGAAAGCATACATCCTTCACAAACCATAGGCGGATGTGACGTTGCCGATTCGTTGACAATCTTGCAATCATTTGTCATTTGCAAGCCGCCTACTCTTCGTCAAGGATGCATTCGTCAAATTACGCAACGTGGACCAGTGTCCCTAATAACAAATTAATTCAATAAAACAAAGTATATCTACATATTATGCAACCAAACTAATTATAAACTCCATATTATTAAACGTGCTTATCGTCAAGGTTATTCAAACCATAAACAAGCCATTGAAAACATTAGAATTATAAACATCGGTTGAATAGTAAACAAAAATTAAATAGTAAACATAATTTATGCGTTTGTAAACAAGTTTTGTTTACAACGGAAACTGAGTGCGGATGTTGGATTATAAGTAAGTGTAAGGCTCTTTCACACCGAAGTATTGAGATCGTGCGTTATTTTTTTGATACAATCTTTTGGCTTGGTTTAGAGTTAGAAGTCGGTAGAATGTATGAAATGAAACGTTTGTTAAACTATATTTGTATTATAACTTTCGTGAGACATATTAAATAAATTATTATGCATATTATCGGCTTACTCACGTAATAATTTGCGTCGCGAAATGCTGCTCATGAATATGAGCCTCTAGCATAACTTGAAACTAGTCGAGTTCCTAGTCAAATTATTACGTGAGTAAGCCGAAAATATAATAATTTGTTTGTTAAGCTAGACAACATGTTCAAGTATTTGAGATATTTTTAAATAAGGGTCACACCAATAAGTAAAAGAGACATATTAAACTGTCAAACACCAAGCGGTCACCGGTGACCGCAACCAATTGTTATATAATTGTGTCTACAAAACCGGTACTCGACGAGTTAATAATTAAGAACGATTCAAAGAACAGGGGCAACACCATAAAAAGCTCAGACTAAATAGAAATTCCAAGCCTCTAAACCAACCAGTAAGTCGATAACACACGAACGACAAACATTAACAACTAGCACTTACTAATTTACAAACGCACGACAGAAACGGTGTGAAAGTGCTCTTTGTTGACACATTAGTGCGTCGACCTTGCAAATTGAGAAACATTCTACACGTGTCACCCACTAAGCAGACTTAAGGCAGAAATACATTACCGTGACGTGGAATGCACCAATCGGCTGCAAGCATTTAGCGACACCCGCAACATGCTACTATACACTAGTGTGTCTTTTACCACAGTAAATGTATGACACAGTATGTGTAGACAATTATTTATTTTTGGAAATTTGGATTGTTGTAGTGACATAACTACAATAGAGGTAGTTGGACATATGCTACCGCGGAGTTTTTCGTAGACATTATGATGTTCTTCAATATTGTTGGACATTATTTTGTTCTATCGCTAACAGTTTCGGCAGCGCATTCGACGAAAGACATTTTAAGACTCATTTTCAACACCTTCGGTTACATTGTTCAAACTTTACCAAGGATCCCTAATTTTTTTCAAAATGAAATTTAGCCTACGTCAAATTGGAAGAATGTAGCATTCTATTGATGAAAGAATTTTTTAAATCGGCCCAGTACTTTTTGAGCCTATTCATTACAAACATACAAAAATAGGTACAAATCTTTCCTCTTTATAATATTAGTATAGATGCCTATTAATACTGGTCTCGTCTTCGCACGTGTCTGATATACTCATTGCACTTATAGTTATATCTTGTATGATAGTAGTGAACTCTTGGAGGTCAGGAGAAATCTTTGAATTCATCATTATAAATCGACGTCATCCTGTGTATTCTCTTAAAATGTCAAACACCGCGAGGACACCGGTGACTGCAACCTATTGTTCTTTAATTGTGTCTATAATGACGGTACTCAAAGGTTAATGAAGGGACCTGGCTACAGCTCTGTTTATAGGTCAGAAGATAAAAATTCTTTTCTAGTTGTAGAACCTTATTATAATGGGAATAAAAGACCAACTTACTGTCAAAGAAAGCTTCATTCCATTTAGCTAATACCCAAAAAAGAAACACTGCAATCAGGGAATTAAAACTGAAGCTGGACAGTTGAAAAGTCATAGACGTTGATATGTTTTCTAACAAAACTTAGCACTGATTGTCTTGGTCGTTGACAGTGTCAACTCTCACTCTGCTACTAAAATCTTTCAATTCCTAATCTCCTCTGTTCTCTTCCAGACGACTACTGGTCCATACCCCTGTACCTGATTGGCAAATGGAGTGTGACTCTCGCCTACAGTTCCGTCTATATCTACGTGTCTGAGGTGTTCCCTACAAACATGAGACAAACTTTAATAAGCATGTGCTCCATGGCTGGAAGGATCGGCTCCCTTATAGCGCCGATGACTCCATTATTGGTAAGTTATTTAATTAGTTTATAAGTGTGGAAGAGCCATGCTTCGGCATGAATGAGCCGGCTCGCCCGGGGTGATACCACGGCCTCACAGAAAACCGACGTGCAGCAACGCTTGCGTTCTGTTTCATCGTGTGAGTGAGGTTACCGGAAGCCCAATTACCCCCCCTCCGCAGTCTTCCCAATCCCCGAATTCCCACAATCCTCAAATTCCCAATTCCTAAAAGGCCGGTAACGCACTTGTAACGCCTCTGGTCTTTTGGGTGTTCATGGACGACGCCGATTGCTTACCATCAGGTGATCCGTCTGCTCGTTTACCGGCTTATACCATAAAAAAATTGATTTCTAGAAAGTATTATATTGTCAACATTACCTGCAACAGCTCATAACACTGCTAAATTATACGCCTCCTACATAAGAGGGCTATCCGTTTGGGAAGCGGGAACAATATTTACATGAAGTAGGTATATAGGTGTAGTCATGATGCATACAGAAGGCGGGGCTACTGACCACAGAGTATCAAGATTCAAGGTTTGATGACAATATCAGTATGATACTCGCAATAATTTAACAGTAACATAATCGATTTTATTACTCCACGTCTTACATTTTATTCTGCGAAACGAACTCTTCGTTCAATTAGAATGATGACAGGGTATGAAAATTAAAAATATAATTAGTCCGTAAGTTAGGTAATGAAAAATATTAGACACGTATTTTTTTATTTTGTCGTGTAGTAAAACAATACTTAGATAAAACGAATCAAAGTTTAGGAGAGGGAGCTAAAACATCATAGAAGTGACGTCACGCGACACTTCAAATCAAAATATCGTCGAAAGTATTCGTTTCTGTAAGAAAATAAAAAATACGTGTCTAATGATTTAAAATAATCTACCAGACGGACATTAAAATAAAAATTAGGCATCTACCCTATTGGCATTCGCATGCCTTCTCCGTGTGAGAAGAAACCTATTATTAAAACAGTGATGAATGACCTAGAAACCTCAATAATGATTTTTATATGACGCACCATTAATTTCACCCCTTTTCCTTTGCAGTCTTTGTACCACAAATCGATGCCGACAGTAATATTCGCTGCCATGTGCCTCATATCCAGCACCCTGGTGATGATGCTCCCGGAGACCAGGAACATGAGGCTACCAGACACGATCGAGGAAGCAGAGGCACTCTCCAAGAAGAGAACCAAGAATTGAGGCTGTTTACCCATTATTTAAGTAGGTATAACCAAAATTGTAGAAAAGTTAATCTTATTCCAATGAATTGTCCAAAATTAATAAAGACATTGTGGATGCACATCAATGTACCCTCGATTATTTAATAGATTTTCTGCCGTATTGTGCTGAGTGCTAAGGTTGAAAATCTATTAACAGATTGGGGCAGCTTAATGCGTTAGTAATTAGATTATTTTGTAAGGATGTTAAAATTTTTTTAGGGACGAATTTTGTGATTCCATTTGTTTGTGTACCCAAGCCGTGTTAATAGTAAATACTTATTTCGTACAGTATTGGCGAAATCTAACCTTAAAGGTTAGTGACACTTAAAAAGATTACTTATTGTAACGATGGTAAGGTTTAAACTTGTATCTAGAAGACCACTTAATTTTGAAAATATGTTTATTAGATACTTAAATGCCTCGTTGGCCGAGTGTTTGAAAGTGCGACTGCCGAGCAAGGGGGTCTCGGGTTCGATTCCCGGGTCGGGCAAAGTATTACTGTGTTTTATATAAATTCAATAAATATAGTAGCACGGAGTCTGGAATTGTGCCCGGTATGTGGCAATAAGCTCACCCTCTATTACATGTGACTCATAACATAAATAGTGAAAAGTGGGTGTTACATTGTACAGTGGCATTAATTGCCGCAATGTGCATCTCTGCCAACCCCTTCGGGGATAAGAGGCGTGATGTTATGTTATGCTATGTTAAAACATTTTTCGCCATACTTTTGTATGCCATAAATGAATGGAGCTTTTCATTTCGTATTATTATTACTTCATTTAGGTACCCATTTTTTCCGCCAATGCAGTACTTATCGCTATGGCATTTTATAAGTCTCCAAAAACATATTGCATGCTTAAGCACACTTATGCATGCTGATTATTAGGTAGGTAATATATATTTTTAATATTATTACATCTCTGTCTTGCACATAAGGTTTGATTGTTGTGAAAAAGATACAAATATAGGTATTTGTCGTCAAGTGAATGAATAAATGAATAATGGCCAGTTGAGCTGCCAAGCACGAATAACTATCGCATTCGTAACTTAAACTGTCAAACACCAAGCGGTCACCGGTGACCGCAACCTATCTATATCTATAATTGTGTGTATAATGACGGTAGTATCGAATGCGTTCGGCGCTTTGATTGGCCGGCTCCAGTAAACCAACCAATCAGTACGCCGAACTCGCTCGATACTGTTACGATACGAATGCGATAATTATTCGTGCTTGGCACTCTGGTAATAAATGGTTGAATAAACTATTGTGTTGTCCCATATTTATGTTTTTGTAAAATGCATGCGAAATCTACTTAAGTTATTGTTTCGTATTAAAACGATCATAAAAGACTAAGTACTTACAAATATTACTTAAATATGTTCAAATTATAAACTGTTTGTTATTTAGTATCAATTTCAGCAATTAAATCAATAGCTAACAATGTAACTTCGAATAAATAGAACAAACAACGTTTTGGTGAACCAAATCCATTCTGAAAATTAACCAATAGTAATCAAACAATTAGGTACTAATTCTTGCCGTCACCACTAGACACTGGCAGTATAGTCGACAAGATTGTTTTGGAGACTCGTTTACCAAAGAAGAGAAAAAAAAGAAAAAGGTACTAATTCTTAAAATGAATTAAAAACAAATGAACACCTAAAGGCTACTTGCCAACAATTTTGTACAAGATTGTGTATTAATGAAAGTGTGTTTTTTTATATTTTATTGTATTGAACAGTCGATTTTTTTTTTGTATTAAGGAAAGTACCTAATTGTCTAATACATTAGCTACATGCAGGAATACACGATTCAATACAAAAAAAATAGACAAACAAAAATGCTCGTAATTTATTTTCATAAAATAATAACAATTAGTCTACATTAAAAAAAACTTTTAGAAATTATACACCAAAAAAAAATATTGAAATAAAACTTTGACTTTTAGATTGATTGAAAGCACTAATCGAAATTCATGTGAACACGTAAGGCGTAAGGCCTTGTCTTGCACATGCTGAACCGAGGCCTTAGTACGAGTTTGTTACGTTTAAAGTAATCGTAACGAGTACGCGTTCGGTGATCTGATTGGTTGGTTCATTGGCGCCAGCCAATCAGAGTGCCGAACGCGTACTCATCACGAATACTTTAAATGCAAATGATACTCGTACTAAGGCCTCAGGTCCCATTTCACGGCAGACTTGGGACATGAACATGTCGTACCTCCGGTGCTATACCTTCACTTATGTATTGCGGGGGACCGCGCAACTGAACAATGAAACGTTGTTTTTCCTAGTGCCGTCCAGATTAGCGCCAAAACCGTAACGACAGTAATGCCCTCAAAATGTCAGTTTGCTTACTACACAAATGACAATAACGCACCAAGTAAAGAGGTGAATTTGGAGTATTCTTTCATAATCAGTTAAGTTTTGACAAAAATTGCATAAGTGGCGATATTGCACCGTAGGTGCGATGTGTTCCTGCTAATAGTCCTCAGTTCCTGCTAATAGAATAAATTATCTGTACGTGTCACTTGTTTTTGGCGTGAAATGAAGTACTTTTTCTCTCTCTTTCTTTCTTTCTAACACCAACATACAATAAATTACACATTACAAAACTAGAATAGCACTTATATAGCTTTTTGATACATAGATATATGTATTCTTACAAAGAAGCGTTCTTCCATATACATTTAAAATATTGTATTTTGGTACCAATCAGAATCAGAATGTCGGTCTTATTACCCAATGAGTTTATTCAGAAAAAATGTTGCTTCTTATAAACAATTTTTTTGTATTGTATACAATTTTTGTTATTTTTACTTAACTCGAATATCATGAATAAAAATAAATAAATATATTAACGACTACTTCATTGTAACATATAAATAAAAATCCATGCTTTAAATGTGGAAAAATATTCGATAAATAAATATGTTAAAACAAACATGGCGCCTAAGTTTAGGGCCGGTGTACATTGGTATTATCAGCAACAAATAAAATGTCGCGTTCATTACGGTAAAAAAAAATATTTGCGTATATTGTTCTATATAAAAAAAAATTGGAAATGACGCATAATCTATGCTTTTTAAAAAAAATAAAGAACAGTAATATACAGTTGTCTTTATAAATATTTTGAGTTCCAAAAGACTTTTATTTATTTATATTTGTGCAAATAATATCAATATTCCTACATTTATTTATTTATTTAATTCCTATTTACGTTAATGTTTAACAGTATTTTTGTAATAAGTGTCCACATTTTTTTTTTATATTTAGTTATTTTTAAGCTTAGTAAGGGACCAATATAAGTAATCAAATGTCCATAGACTGCGCCCCCCTTTTCTATAAATACTTAAATTTCTGTATAAGGTATTATGATGGGTTTACCAGACTATAGTTTTGGAAGTCAATAACGTTTGAAAATCTAAAAATTGTTTTATAATAACTATCGTGAGACATACTAAATTAACTAAAAATCATGGGCACCGTGCGCGGTCGCGGCGATGTCACGCTGCTCATGAGTAAGAACCCCTCTGTGGCTCGAAACTAGTAGAGCTTTTCTCAAAATTTTCACGTGACTAGCCCGCGATTTTTAGTTAATCTGAAAATTGGTATATTATCTTCCATTGTTTTTCCTATAGAAGAAGAAATAATTTTGTTATATTACGAAAATCTCAGTGTCACTTGAAAGCACTTATGTATAATTTTAGCTACAGGCTGCTCTAAAAACCAATACCTATCTGAATTAACGTTCCATACAACTCACACGACCAGCGCTAACGTACCACGTAAAATTATAACACAAACATAACTACTACAATTCAAGTTTAATTAAACCACAATTTTCCATCACCCATGAACATTACACACATACATAGACACCAATTGCTACACATAAAGTTATAACAACCAGTTTATCATGGTCTCATTTTGTATGATCTTCCCACACTTTCAAAGGTCAGTTTATACTGGCTTATGTGTAAATACATGAATCACAAATAAGTTATTCAATGATTATTCCGATGATGAATACGTTTCTAATGACTAAATCATCACATCATTACGCCATCTTGATTGCTTTATCATTTTAATAATGACTTTTGTTGCAATATATAAATCATGCGGCATCATTACCTTGACGTTTTAACATCATTTTTCATTTTATTTACTGTGTAATTTTACAATATTTGTATTTATTTGTGTTAGAAGCATGATATTGTCTGGTCATCTCTTGAACAAAAACATCCTGAGTGGTGATTAATTGTAATAATTATAATTGTATATTAGTTACCATTACGAACTATATTGTTACAAAGTCCATCTATAAAATTGTCACGTCTACGATTAGTTGCGAAAAAAAAAAACTAATAAAAATTAAAAAATATTTCTCAGTAGGTAGTAGCACGGAGTTTGGAATTGTGTCCGGTATATGGTAATAAGCTCACCCTCTATAATATAAGACTCTTAACATAAATAGTGAAAAGTGGGTGTTACATTGTACAGTGGTATTAAGTGCCGTTATATCCACCTCCGCCTAGCCCTTCGGGGATAAAAGGCGTGATGATGATGATAATACTTCTGAGTACTGTAATAAAATCGAAAAATAAATGCAGGCAAGTTAAAACCTCATTACACTAAACGTTGTAAACAAGACTTAAGTTTCAACCAGTACTTAAGTACCTACATACATACAGGCACTACTACATACGTAGGCAGAGACTAGGGAACGCCAATTACTACGATTCCTACATACCTCTTTCACTTCATCAACAGTCATCAATCTTTTCATGCATGCTCGGCGGTTAAGGGTACTTTTAATTTGGCCCTTCTTTAATATATCGCCAATCTGGTCACTATATGTCCATCTACGGCGCCCTCTACCGACGGCCCCATTCATATCCGCTCTGTATACTTCTTTCGTTAGTCTACTTTCATCCATCCTTTCTATATGTCCAAACCAGCGTAAGCATTCCCTTTTCAATCCTTGTCACAACATCTTCTTTCAATCCACACTCTTCTCTAATATCACTATTTTCCACTCGATCACTCAATTTTAGTCCACACATCCTTAAGTATCTACATATAATTCTGTTCCTAAATTGCTTATACCTATATATTTATTTTGCAAAAAAAAAACAAATAAAATGCAACAAAGTTGTGAATTATACAAAAACAATAAACAATTATACGAAAACTGCAAATAATTATAAAAAAAGTTAATGTGTATTTAATAACTCTAGACCAGGTCTTTATAATAATTAGGTCCTACATTGTTGTGATGGATTAATACTGGACGTTTCAAATTATAGATAATCGTCAAATGTACAACGCTTGTTATTTTAAACGGGGATTTACATGTGGTTGTCAATTAACATCGGATTTAGATGACTTTAGTTGCACGTGTCATTATGTTATCACTGTATTATTCACTGTATTTACTGTATTTATCATCG